GGGGTGACACATTCAACCCCATACCCCTGTACTAGTAAGAACAAATCTGTTTTGATTCTCCTTCAGGGAATATAAGAACAAGAGATCATAAAATTTTTGTGACTTTAGTGAGTTACAGTGACAACTTTTCCCCATTTAGGAACAAACCAGTTTCATAAAAAAAATACAAACCAATGTACATGTACAAAAGTTTTTAAAATGCACAGAAAATTGAGGTAGCCAACCTGGTACCTGTACTAATACTGAGGGTAATTTGCCATTTACACACAAAAAAAGAAGTTTCATTCAGATACCTAAATTCTAGACATAATGTTTCACATGATCGTCGGTCGTAGCAAGCTGGAAAATAATAAACGGGGGGTATGGAATAGGGAGCGGGGATGCGCACAAAACTGAAAATTAATAATGCGGAAAAAGGAGGGGGGAGGGGGACGTTTATTCGATACCTTTGAGTACTGACATGTGCGCAAGTGTTTGGTGCACGTTCAGGTGTGTCTGACCTATAAGGTACTTCTTTTCTTTGTAGATATTAGCTGTGCTTACTGATTCTCATCTGGTTCGGGTGGAATTATATATTTTATTCAATCCAAACTGACTTAACCCTATCCGTAGATCCTTTTTTACTATCGTATCCGTACGACGTGGGGGACTCTTTGCTACCACGTTCCAAAGAGGAAATTTTCACGGTTTTGAGAAATACTGAAAGTTTCAAAGAGATCTTTGTACTAGAATTATTCTGAAATGTGAAGAATACACCCCGATGTGTACAAAATGACCCCAGGGCGTACGGATAGAGTTAATTAAACAACAGCTCATTTTTAGGAGTGTGTTTTTGCAAGCCTCTATCGGGCTCAGATTATTATGTATTGATAACTACTCTACTGCCATTATCAGTCTTTTGATTTAAGTGCACACTTTTGGAAAAAGCTTTTTTCTCAAAGTCTAAAGCTGAGTGCCGCCGGTTTTTTGCTTGTTTTTTGTTTGTTTTTGTTTTTGTTTTGGTCTGATTTTTCCTGACAAAAATGGATGTCCCGATTTGTTCAGTTGGTATCATGCTGGACTGCACGGCGAACGACTTGGTTCGAATCCCCATAATGGGCATTTTTGAAAGTCCCTGCATCTTCTTGATCGACGGTATCGGAAGTAAAACGTAGATCTCCTTTAACCAATCTTTCCTATTTAAAAGTGCCGATAAACCAACAGATTAAAAATAGCCACTTTAAACTGACTGTGAACCATCTTTTTTCTGACCGGATTAATTGTTCCGTCTGATGAAAACCCTTGTCTTGACTAATTCAAAGCATGCATGTTTGACTTTTTAATACTCACCAAAGAACAATGAGTATAACACTACCCCCACCTCCTTTTAGCCTTCTTCTTTTGAAAAAAGAATAAGGAAAATAACAGCCAAACAAAATTAGCCCACCTCCTAAATCTGTTATATAGATTTCAGAATGCATAGAGCCTTCTGTTGAGCAGACATTTTTTGTTAGTATTATAATTTATCGATAGGTATACCTTGTCACCCTCTCCCTATACCGCCAGGTACATCATAATAAGGGGGAGAGCAGTCGAGGCCACGCTTGCCTGTCCCTGGCCACGTTCTCCAGTCTCGTCGGTACATCCCATCGATAGGCACGTAACGAATTTAAAGTTTTAAAATCCATCCCAATTCTATGTTTCTGTTTCTCTTCTTCCCGAATAGCTCCAAGCTTACAGAGGAAGGCGTCGCTCCCGGATACTCCGCGCACCGGGGTCAGTGTCAAGGCACTCGTGAGGAAACTCTCCGACATTGGTTCGGCGAACGGACATACTCTAAAGACAAAAGAAGGTAAACGTTTTTCCTATTATAATATTGTGTCATGACGTGGTGGAATCAGGCACTCGTCAATTTTTAGACATGTGGCGTTATTGGTATCATCTTAAAGCCTGTTCGTTTATCATACCTTCGATTAAGAAAAACACACGTCTATCTTGAATAGAAGTCGAGATATTTGCGATTAAATGAGGTGGAGGCAGTGGCGGTGCGCCATTGGTGCAATTGGTGCAAGCGCTTCATCTAACCCTGGCCTTCACACACCCCCCTCCCCCACCCACCTTTCTAATTGTTCTAGACCAGTCAGTGCTCTAGATCTACATTACTACATCCTTGCGATCCGTCACCCGCTGGCTGCGCCAGTGAAGAGACAGACGGCGAGGATGGTTTATGCTAGTCGCACCGCTTGCGGTAGAGTCTGCTGGGAGCAAGCAAAATCTGTGCACCAAAGTTATTTTTGTCACTGTAGAGAAATCTAGGCATCGTTCTTCCCGCACAAGAAGAAAGTTGCATGAAACTGCTCTTTGCAGCACCGATTTGGTGCAAGCTAAAAATTTGATCCAAGTCTCCGCGAGCCTATCTACTACATGTAAACTAGTAAAGTCTACGGAAACTCAATGAAGAATGGATATATCGAAACTGTTGTCTCCCTCTATTGTGTAGCAGGTCCTGGTGCTGCACAAAGTAATTAGAAATCTTTAAATCTCCTCAGATTGTGAGCATAGTGAGTTGTTAGTATTGTTGCAGCTTCT